ATGATGCAGATGTTTTATTATTAACAGTACTAATTAAAAACTGAAATCGAGCTATACCAGAATGGACTGTTGAAACTGAAAATGTAACAACAACTCGTTTACTTGCTTTTAAAACAATTGAATAACCGATTCCTTCTTGATTTGTTTCGGATGTTAATAATTCGGCATTACTTGCTCTTAAACCAACATGTAATGGTAATGATTGATCAGTTTGATTTTGTAGAATAACTGAGAAATGAGCTTTATCACCATAATTAAGAAATCTTGGTGGTGATGGTCGAACCATCACGGGTAATTGTACAGTAAATGATGTTTCACCTAAACCATATTGTTTATCATTAGCTGCTAATGCCCATACACGGTAGCGTGTTAGATTATCAGGTAACTTAACTTCAAATGTAGCATGTCCTGATGAATTGGTGATTGCTGACGGTATCCAATGTGCTAATGGATTGAAGTTCGATCGAACAGCTATCTTTTGTTCTCCACCGCCACCTCCAGCTCCACGTCTAGAGCGAGACATCCCTTTAGCGCATTCCATTTTCATCGAACTCCCAGTGTATTCCATATCCATCTCTTCAATAATACAATGAGCGTGCCTTTCTTGCATATCTTTCTTAAATTTTTCTATATCTTGTATATTAAATAGTAAACAACGATTTCTACCGTGATATTGTATTATTTTTGTTGATCGATCAGGATAAAATATATCTAATGGACTCAATAGTGTATGACCAGTTAATGATAAAATTGCTTCGTCAACAATAATTAGACACACTTCTACCGTGTCCATAGCTGCATTATTCGCATGTTGTGTAACATCAACACCTATATGAATAATAGATGATGGTGTAAATGATTCATCTGTTTCTTTTGTATTTATTAAAACATTTAGTTTATAAATATCTCTTGATACTTTTAACGATACTGAACCAGTGGCGATTGCTGGACGATGCAGTGAATCAGTTACTTCTATTTCTCTTGGAATCGAGCCTGTTAATTCAGTATGAACTGTAAATCCTGGTATCCAATCTTTTGATATTCTAAATTCAACAGTTGCTGAATCTTTACCAGATTCTATCTGAAATTGTATTGGTTGTGAAACTTGACCATCACAATCTAATATAACTAAACCACTAGCAGGACTAAATGGTGCTAGTATTAATAATTCACATATGTCATTTGGTTGATAATGTTTTGTTTCATTTGGAATAATTGTTATTGTATCAGTTGGAATAAAATCAACTTTTTGTTTTTCTATTTCGTTTTCATAACCACCCGAAATGTAATAGTTGTCATAGAAACTCATAGCTAATCGACCTTGTTCATCTTTGACACTATATGATATATTGTAACTACCGCCTAACAACAGATGTGAAACAGAAATTAGAAAGTGTTGTAAAAAGAAGCAACTTCTAACTACAAATCTCTTTAGGGCTAGGCTGAACTTTTATTAAAAGAAAACTCCTTTATTTATTTAGTTGCTTGGCTGTTTACGTTTTCAAGAAAAAAGGAATAATCCTCTATTAAACATGTTGCTTGATTTTTCCTCTCTTTGACTAAAGTAAGTAAAGTGTCAACAAAGTTTAAAATCTGAAAAAATTTGCCTAGTCTTTTTAATATGCTAGTTCATATAATCAGATAGTCAAAGACGCATATGAAAACTAATGCATCTTTTGTGCCGCAGCTTTCAAACATATTCTACAGCACAAGATGAGACAGTACAATCATTTCTATGATACTTTGTTATATGTGCATTCAGAGTTGTGCAGATTAATATACTGGATGGAGTGAGTGCCTTCAGACCTTTTTTTGATGTTTAGGTTTAGTTATAATGAATCAGAATAAAACTGAAAAAGCATCATTTATGTAGCTAATATATGACTGAAAACATACAGAACTATTATACACATTCATCTTCATACGCTAATTTAATTAGTCTGCTAGAAAACATTTTAGTATATAAAGCCAGACTCTGATAAAGCTTGCTTTTCATTTTATCATCACAAAACAAATATTTTACCTAATTTTGGTGTAAAATCAATATTAACTGCATCTTTATTTGAACTAACAATTGTTAGTGTTTGGTCATCTTTCACTGGTTCAAATACTATTAAACCATTCTCATCTTCATTTTTTTCATTACCATTTCCAATTACCTTACACTCAATCAAAACATTATCAATTAAATTTCCATCAATATCTGTTACAATGACTTTTGTTTGGACAGGTTTATCTTTCTTGCCATAATTTGATATTAATTTAAATCCAACATAATATGTACATGGATGTATGATAAACTCTGTTTGTGTTTCTTGTGTTTGATAATTTAAGTCAGTAATGGCTGCTAATGCACGAACAACTGTTGTTCTGGGCTCTTGTTCAATACCATGATAATTGATTTTAATTTCATGTAGACCTTTATTGTTTGTTTTACCCTAAAAGTAAGTGTATACAATAATCTGAAAGAAAACGTGCTGAACTGTTGTTTACTTTAGAGCGTTAAAATAAGATTTCAAGAGCTATTTCAAGTTTTTGAGCATCCATAGCATTTAGGATTATATACAGATTGTCAAAGTCAAAAGTCTAGAAAAGAGAATTTTCAACTTTGGTGAGTTTTAATGACTTTGGTGAGTTTAAGTTCATTCGAGAACGATGAAAAGAGTTTCTCCTTATACAAGTTAATATTCTCTCACGAACTACGCTACAATTAACTCTTCAAATTAAAATTGAAGTTTTTATTGAAATTTTAAAAATACGGCGGAAAACCGAAAAAAACTTCAAAATTCCTTTTTCAAAAACCACAAATCCGGGAACCGAAAGCTTTGTTGAGGCATTTACTCCGAAGTGTCCTCTATAAGCTGGTCGGGAAAGTCGGACGGGGCGGGGACGGGGACACACCTCTTAAAGGCAATATTGCCATAGACTTCAATTTGATTGCTCAATCTCAGGAATGAGTGTGTGAAGAAAATCTGAATTAAGGCATTCGAAACAGCGTCAGAAACTAAGTAAGACAAATATAATCTGTAACTTCGCCTAGTGAAGAAATCAAGAAAAGCAAGTACTCTAATTTTTGTTTTCCTCTTTAGCACCCATTTCTTCGCATAGATTCAAGGAAAGTCAGGACGTTTTCAGAGGAACGTTTAGCTAACAAATGTTGTACTTCATATTCTGGTTACTTTTCGCTCTTAAAATAAAATTAGATTACCTGAAAAGTTTCTGCTGGATATGATATTTTATTCTGAGTCTGAGAAGAATTATTATAACGATATCGCCAAACGAATTGCTCAGCTCTGCCAAATGTATAGTCAGATCGTTCTGGTGGTGTAAATTGTGTTGTTTCAGGTTTAACTGTCCATTGAACATTTGCATCATTTAAATAACCACCAGCAAACAATTTTCCTTCACAAGTAACTATAACATATTCATCAGTTGTTGAATGACAATAATGTGGTATTGTTGGTCGATGCATTGATGAAACTTCATATTCTGGTTTTCGAAACTCTTGAACTTTAAAATAATGTGTTGTATTAGTTGCTAAATCCGGTAAATTGAAATATATAGAGCCATTACCTAATATAAATATAAATACATGATAGATCAATTGTATATAACATCGTTGAACTCAACGGAATCCCAAGTAGCCTTTCAGGAAACTACTTCTAGCATAAATAATTGACTCCAGAAATGCTCATTTCTTTCTAAACGTCGGTAGATAAAAGGAGTAATATACAAAAGTAAGGATATCCCTTGCCCTTATGAATCATAATAGCTAGTGCCTTCAAAGCGTGTGTGGATGTAAGCCTAAACTCATATGCCGATCATCCCATCAGTTTAAACCCTTTTAACTGACTGATTCGTGAGTGGTGAGATTTAAGGGTTTCACTTTTTTTTGTAAATGTGAATAACTTCTGATCTAATGTTCAAGGTAGACATGCGACAGTCACAGTTTTTTGACGGTTAACTGTAGTGGTAAAACTACTGCTAACAGTAACTATCATAACTGTTTTGAAATATATGTGGCTTTGTCGACCAAAATAATTATCTTCGGCAAAGCAACTATCAATTCTATATAAAAGCCATATATGTGTATTTTTTGGCCTTACTCCGAAATGTGTGTTAATCGCACAACATTAATTCAGTCTAAAATATTTTTCAAACAGTTACGACAGTTACAGTTGTACAATTATACAGTTAACTGTAACTGGTGCATGCCTACTTCAGGGTTAACTGTTATATAGTAGCATGCATTCATTAGCATACTAGACGCTAATGTAATATACGAAAGAAAACGAGGCTGATAGAGCGGGCATCCAGGCGGACATTTGACATAAAATCGAAAGTAGGCTTTTTCAAAATTTCAGTAGTGTCAAATATACGTCAGTTTAACGGTAAAAGATATTTTGTCTCAAGTGGCGAATTTTCGCATAACACGTATTTGTAAAAGTACACTCGGTTTAAGCATCACTCACGGGGGAATATATTATTTTGTAATATCAACCTGATGTGCGGCCATAAAACGTGTATATTCGGAATCCACGCAGTTTCAGCTACATATTCCAAAAAGAATTCGTTTCGGACTGAAGTCTGACGTCAGAAAACAAAGTGTTTTCCAAAACCTAAGATTGTTTCCGATACATGTGTACAGTATAATGAGATCGCGCAAGTTAGTGCTGTCCAATTCCACTCAGAATGATGTCAAAATATTCGTCAGAAACTCTTGTGTTACAAAATAAGGTGATATTTCGATATATGAGAAACTACATCGAGTGATGTGCTACTTATTAGTTTTACAAATAAAAAATTGCGTGACAAAAGTTCACGGCGAGTGTCCTCTTCTCTTATTTTCAACCACATGTCCGGCTACTCTGTGGAAAAATGCCCACTTTGGCTGAGTAACTAAAGATCGTCCTTATCGGCGGTGAAAGGATATCATAAACATGCAAAAGTATGATTATGGAAGCCAATGAGGAGAAAAAAGTATGAAACCTTGTCAGGATGATACCATCATCACCAAGTGCCTCCCCCTAATGACATTTTTTGCTTGAAAAACCACTGTCAAATATGGCACTCGACCTCGTTTGTCTGCTAATTTCAAATATGTTATGCATTTTGCTTGAAGATATACGAGAAGGGAAAAAGAAGCAAAATATATAAGATATAACATGTATTATAAAGGAAGCCTCAGGGTAAAGGCAAAGCAGTGAATATGAGAACAAAACTTTACCTAAGCTAACATTATCAGGTAATTTAAATTTTATGTCAAATGCACCATAATCATTCAATCTCACTTTTGACTCTTCAAGTTTTTGGCCACGCGGATCTTTAATTGTATAATCAATTGTACCTCGTGCATAAGATGGTAATTTTGCTTCACTTTCTACTTTCAATAATCTAACATAACCTTTTATATGTACATCTTCATTTGGCTTATATAAACCTCGATCATTAAATACGTGCCATACATAAACATTAAAATATGATTTATGATGA